AATGATGACTCTTTGTCAGAGCTGGGATACTTTCCAGATCCAAATATGGGATTAAATGTGTTAGTGAGCAGTCCTGAAATGCCTCCGGATTTCAAAAGACTGTTTGGGTTTTGCACATCACCCACTCACTTAAACAGGCAAGAGCTATTTCTAAATATCCTTTTTCCAAAGAGTTGGAACAGGGATTATAGAGTGACAAATGGTAACTTCCAACAGTATTTGGACTTTTGCCCCAGATGGTGGGCGTGAGAGTGTCAGGAGCAGAATGGGCTGGGGGAGGAGCTGATGCAGAAGGGAGAGGAAATGCTGGACCTTTCGGCTGTCAGTCTCCATTTCCCCAGAGTCCATGAGCTGCAGCATGCCCAGGGGATAAGGCAGGAGGAAGAGTGGCCTAGCCCCTTAAAAGCAGTCCTTTCTGCTGGTTGCCTACAGCCACCTACCCAAAGACCATGGCATGGGATTTAGTAAGGAAAGCAAGAATGCCACCACTTTCCAGCCACTACAATGGCCAAAATCAAAAAGTTGGGCAATAACAAGTGCAGTAAGGATCTGGAGAAATCAGAGCCCTCCTAGGCAGCTTCTGGGGATGTGAAATGATATGGCTGGTTTGGAAAACAATCTGGCAGTTCCGTAGACCTAGCAATTCCACCCCCTCGGTATATATACCCAAGAGAAATGGAAAACATACATCTATACCAAAACCCATATGCAGACACTCATAGCATTATTCAGAATAGCCCCAAACTAGAATAACCCAAACGCCCATCAACTGATAAATAGAAAAAGCAAAAATGTGATCTATTCATACAGGAATATTTATTCAGCAAGAAAAAGAAATGAAATACTGATGCATGCTATTAAAAAGCATTATGCTAATGACATACAAGGACCCCATGGATATAAAATGCCCAGGATAGACAAAATTGTAGAGATAGAAAGTAGATAGTCAGAGGCTGGGGGAGGGAGCAAGGAGAAATGGGAAGCAACCATCACAACTCACAGATATAGGGTTTCTGTTTGGAGTAATGAAAATATTTTAAAATTAGGTTGTGGTGATGGTGGTACAGCCCTATAGATCCATAAAATCATTGAATGGTATACTTGGAATGGATAAAGTGCATGGCATATAAATTATATCTCAATGAGTTTTTTTGTTTGTGTGTGTGTGTGTGTGTGTGTATTTAAGAACACTGACAAAGAGTTGTGGGCCACCTTCATTTAAAGAACAAAGCTTCAGCTCTGCCTCCACTGGGAATTGTGATTATACATGGAGAATTCATGACAAAAACATAACACGGCAGGAAAGAAAGAAAGAAATGTACACGAAGTTTAAATCTTGGTTTGGGTCCTATGTTGGGAGGCAGAAGAATGCCAGATTCAAATGAGAATTAGGAGCTCAGAGCTGAAGAAATTCATGAATTGTCAGTCAACTCACACAACACCCCACCCCCCTCAAATGGGCTTTCTTCAAAACTTGAAATTGGTCAATAGACATTTCTGTGGAAAACCAATGTTTTCCTATTACCTTTCTTAACTTTGGTTTGGAATAAGTCACCTGTGAATCTTCTTGAGTTCTTCCAAGAGAATGGATCTGGCTTGTGTCTTCATTCCCGACTGAGGTTTCTTCGACTGATGCGGGACCACCCATGAACTGGGCTTTGATGTGGGAGTTACCAGCCTTTACCTCCAGATCCTATCAGGAAAAGATAACAAAACACATCCAAGAGCGTCTTTTTTAAAATGCCATTTGCTGGGGATGTTTCTCAGTGGTTAAGCACCCTTGGGTTCCCAGTGCCAAAAAATGTTTTAATTAATTAATTAATTTAAAAAACAAAAATGCTGTTTTTACCTCCCAGCAGTTGATTTTGACCTGGCATAAAGAAATCCCTCAGCCAATCTTGGGGCTGATGTTTTCTCAAATAAATGCCAGTCATAATCACTGAATGATGATGTGTTACATTAGATAGCATTTCCTAAAATATTTCTCTGGTTGCTATAAATATACTTTTCTGTGCATGTGCTATTTCCTGAGTATTTATGTATTTGCAAATTTTGTTCATGATTATGCTACACATGACTTCCAACTTAGTTTTCCCAAGTATTTTTATGTCTTAAAACATCCCCAGAATCAGGCAAAGCATTTATTGACTTAAAAAAAAAAAAAAATTCCTCTGTCTTAACAAAAACAGGGAAGAAGGATCTGAGAGCTGGAGCAGAGACACAGAGTTGCTGAGACAGGAAAGATGACAATGAGCTGGACCCAGGTGGGGGCTGTGAGCAAGGCACCTGGGGGGAGGCTCAGTGAGTGCTGTCCCTGTTCCTCTGAGCCATTCCCCTCTGTGTCTGCTGCTTTGTCCCAGGTAGTAACCAGTGGCTTTACCATGCCTGCCTCCCTCCCCAGTTAGCCATGATTGTTGGGTTCCCTTCCCAAATGTAAAACCCTGGGCCCAAGACTTCAGCGCTCCTGGTATAATAGGCAGCCCCTTAGCCATGGACCCAATGGGGCCAACTCACTCCATGCTTTGACTCTTTCCATCCCGAACATTAGCCAAAAAGTCTCACAGGAGGGGAGTGACTGTGTAATTCTTCCTTTCTAGTCTAAGGTGCTCCTCACCCTTCAGGGATCACTCTGTCCTGCTCCTTTACTTCATAATTATTTTTATCTACAATGTAAATGGAAAACTGCCTAGAAAACCCCTTATTTTCTGTTATTTTCCAAGAAAAAAATTAAGTGATGAAAAAAGTTGGGGGTTAGGAAGACAAATCCAGTCAATAGCCCTGGTGTCATGGTCTGGCTCCATCACAACATTACTGTGGCAGGCAGGTCACTCTGGACCTCTGCACTGTGCTTTTCTCATCTGCAAGATCAAAGTGTGTACACACACACACACACACACAAACACATATGCATACACACATGCTCACAGAGACACCCAAATGTGTAAATCTAATTGCTTTGAGGATTCTAAATTCTTTTTAAAAGCTCAGGACATCATACAGTAGTAGCATCACATTTGCAAATCTTTGAATATCCTTGTGATTGTTTGAGTCAGTAACCTAAAGTCTAGGTCAGAGTCAGGGAGACAGATGAAGAGTCTGGCAGTGAAATCCAGTAGGATGCCCAACCTGTGCTTGGGCACAAGCAATCTGTCACCCCACATGTAGGTGGACTCAGACCTCAGGTCCATCACCAGGCTCAGATTCTAAACCCCAGAGCAAGCCTCCATGGAGGCTATCCACTGGTCCCCACCGTTGGCAAAATTTCAGGACAGTATGAGTGTGTCTAGCTGTTCTCAGGAATTCATATGTTTACATTCAGTCATGGGTTTTAGAAAATTTATTATGGCACCTTTATACTTAAATTCCCAGACCATAAGCTAAATATATACTTAACTTTTTAAAAAATTTTTAAAGTCATATTATTTAATCATAGAATAAAACAATGCCTTTAGAACTTCCCTATCTGTTTCATAATTACATGCTTTGGATAAGAGTCTGGTTCACAGCCAAATTTCCCAAGCATGGAGAGCTTTAGGGAGCATATGCAGGACTAGCATATATCTTGCATTAGGTTTTTTCTTGAAAATACCAAGTCAGTTAGCTAATGATGATGGAACCATTATTTTCTGCATACTGTTCTTAGTTTTCTTTCTCCTTCTTTCCTTCCCCTTTTAAATAAAACAGACCCTGTTGATGAGGTATTTGTAGAAAGGCAAGATTTTTTTTGTCCTGTCCCCCTCCCAACACCTGCACTTTTATTCCAGGAATATAGAGATAAATCAATTATATACAGGAATAAAATCATGTATAGTGTTTACTGAGAATCATTCATGGAAAAATGATAAAACTCAACAGCAAAAATAGTTTAAACTAAATGAATGCATAGATCCTTGCAAAAAGAAGAAAGGGGACTAAGAGAAGATGATTTAGAGAAAAACAAATTTTGAAATTATCTCAAGAGCTTTATCAGTGATGGGTAAATCCTTGAATTAGCAGATCATAATGAGTGCTTAAAAAATATCATACACCAGATTATTCATTTTAAATATATCACCTCATTCAATCTTTGCTACAACCCAATGAGGTAGATATTATTTCCATTTCCATTATTATTTTCCATTCCAAAGATTACCAAAGAAGTTAATCAACTTCTGTAAGGTCAAGCAAGAATTGGTAGGGCCAAGTTCAAGCTCAGGTGTGTCTGACTCCAGGATACTCCAGTAGGCTAGTAGGTTATGCTCTGGTGAGATTAAAGGATAGAGTTGAAGCAAAGATAAATAAATAAGTTAATAAATAAATAAATATTCAGAAGAGAAATATGAGCTGATAGTAGCCATGGTTTTCTGAACTATGCAACCAAAATGATGTTAAGATCAAATTTAGCCAGGCATGATGGCACATGCCTTTAATCCCAATGAGTCAGGAGGCTGAGGGAGGAGAATCACAAGTTTGAGGCCAGTCCCAGAACCTTTAGGGAGCTCTGTAGCAAGACCCTATCTTAAAGAAAAAAGAAAGAAAACAAAAACCAGATTAAACTTGCTCCTTCTCTTAATTGTAGGAATCCTGCTGTGTGTTGTGACTGTATCCTTCTTTATCCTTTACATCCCCTTCCAGCTTTGGGATCTCATCTCTTAATATAAAAATACGTTGAATTAATATGCATATGTCCTTTTGAAACATGGTTAAAAAATAATCAACAATCAAAGGGACTTGAGTGAAATGACAAGCAGTTGTGACACATCTAACTGCATATCTCTGCTTGGGGTTAAGTTCCACATGTCATTTATCCATAAAATAGCCAGAGATTTTCTATAAACTCTGGAGAGAAAAACGGAATAGGTTGCCTTGACCTCCTTTATCCATTTTCCTCCAAAATCATGAATGTGGATATTATCTGTATCAGATAAGCTTCCCGGCAGTTCTGTTGATCCTAACTTAAATCTGGGATACTTCCAAAGAAAACGTCCAGGTTTTTTTATAAGTTGCCCACAGAAATAGCAATCTCTCCAGTGTGGACATAAAATTGGACTTTTTTGTTTCACCCTGCAGGCACTCTTGGGTTCTACAAGTTTTAAAGAGTTAAGAAAAATAGATGGAATGTCTTGGGAATGTTGGCAGGGGAGGCTGCAAGTCTTCGCTTCACTTTCTCACCCTGGAATGCCTCTGGATTTGCGCTGTTCACTAAGTTCTGTTTTGACCTGCCAAAAGAGCCAGTCTACGGGGCAGTCCACCAAGAGGCAGGGATGTGTGACTATCTGCACACTGGGGTTTATTTTTTCCTGGTGCCTGGTGAGTCCCCAGAGACAAGGAGAAAACATTTTGATTTAGGAGCCTTCTGCTAATCCTTGAGGGAAAACAGTCTCTGAAGATTAGTGAGGGGCGTGGTGAGGGTAGGTAGGGGGAGAGGAGAGCAAGAGGAAGCAGGGTTATTTGGACTGAATTTTTTCCTTGCCTGATTAAATCTTAGTGGCATTGGAATCTGTGTTTCTGAAAGAACACAGCCCTGTATGTGGGGCCCGAGAGCGGAGGGGCAAAGGCAGGAGGCCCAGGAGCTGGCATGGCGGCAGGGCTGCCTGACTCTGAGGACATGCCATGCAGCTGGGACCTCACTTGCCAGGCACTGAGGACTTGTCGAGGGGGACACTTTCGGGTCCTACTGCTGATGTTGAAGCCATGGTGCATCTCCAGGGCCGTCTACCAGGTGGGGCCAATTTCCTCTTACTTTTTTTTTGCAGTGTGAGGCAGTGATGGGGAATAAGGGGGAGGGGAGTGATCTATTGTCACTTGTGCTTAGGACTCCGGAGCATGTTACAATCAGTAGGGAACCGGTTAACATTAATCGTGCATCTTTCTCGAGGTGCCAGGCGCCCTGTGAGGTGTGCCATGAGCGTTTTCAAGGCCACCCTCTGAAGGAGGTGTGCATGTCTCCATTTAACAGATAAGGTTGTTGAAACTTGGAGAAGGATGTGGGTTGTGCAAAGTCACCCAGCAAGTAAATGACAGAGCCCTGTGATTAAAACTGCAGTTCTTCTGGCTGCAAAGACAAAGGCTGCTCTGTCATTAGTTCGAATTTCCCTCACAATAGATGATGCTTACTCAATGTCTGTGGGCCATTTGGAAGGGCAGGGGTGACCAGCTGGTAAAGGGAGTGTGGTTATGGGGGACAGGAGCAAGAGCACCAAGCAGCAATATGGTCTCTTTTCTTCACCTCCCTCTCCCTTTGGTGGTTTTACACAGGGACCTCTGACACTTGTACAGAGCCTACAGCTAAATCTGAGAAAAAGAACGTTTTCTGGGGGTTTTTTTTTGTTTTTTTTTTTTTCAGTGCTGTAGATCAAACCCAAGACTTCATGCATACAAAGCAAATGTTCTACTTAAGCTATACCTCAGCCTGGGGAGGGCATTTTCTGCAAGAGGGTAGCACTTCTGAGTCAGCTGGCTAGGGATGCAGAATACTTCAAAAAGGGGAGACAACAGCATCTGCCTTCTCCTACCTTCAGTCTAGATTAGTGGCATTAGGCTATATCCCTGCTTGTCATGAAGATGTCAGTCTTGACAGCCCCAGCCCATTGTGAGAGGGGCCAGCCTGGTTGGGCAGAAGGAAGGGAAGGAGGCAGAGTAGAAAGTAGGAGCACTTCCCCTTGCCTGGCTCTGAAAGAAGGTGTCGCTCAGTGTCACTCTGGCTTGGCAGATGGGTTTTTTGGTAATAAGGTTTGCTTGAGTGGCTTGACAGTCTCTTCTTGCTTGCTGGCTCACCTCACTGTTTGCAAGCAGGCAGGCACAGCTGGCCTTTGTATTTTTAGGTTTGCTTGGTGGTGCATAATCCCTTAAGAAATTGTGTGTAATGTCTAAACAACTCTGGACCCTTGTGGCTGTCCCTCCCTCCACTCCCCTCCCCCACTCATGGAATTTCTGGCCTTGCTTTGAAGGGACAGCTTCTTGGAAGCCTTGCCCAAGGGGACCAGACACTTGCATATCCCTGCCTTGGGCTTAATTTTCCCATGGGCAGACAGGGTTTCTGGAGATGAAATTTCTCCAGAATTCCTATGCTTGAAGAGTATATACCACAGCAACTGTGTTTCCAATAGATCATATATAAAAGAAGCTTGAGGGAAATCTTCCCAAGTTTGACAACCATTTGAAAATTTTACGTAAAATAATTCCAACGACAAGTTGTAAATCTGAAAGAATTTTGGAAAACAACCTCCCTAGCTGGGAGGTTCAAGAAAGAATAAGATTGGTGTGTCCATTTGAAGCTTTTCTGAAACCTTAGTTCAGAGTCAAATGTCCCCCAGTATGGTATTTAGGGTAATTACTGAGTCAAGATCATTCCATCTTTTCCAGTCATTTCTGTGGTTATAGGAGTGTTGAGGGCCTGGCTCCTTGCCTCCACCTCCCACTTTCTTTTCATCTCCAGATTTGTCTTCCCTCTTGTCTCATCAAGTTACATAAAAACTTAGCTTCAAAATCAAGTAAGCAGGGGGCTTTCTTACGATTTTTATTTACATCTTAAAGTGTACTGAAAAGAACAGTGAATTATTAGCAACCAGGCCTGGAAAAATTTTTATTCCCACCCAACCACAATTCCATTGAGCCACTGATATGCCTGATCAGTCCTCAGACTTGTCCATGGTCAGACTCTGGCCAACCTGGGCTGCTTGGCCCGAGGGCAGCAAGTGCCTCTCACCCACACAGCCCTGTTTGCAGCTGGGAGGTAATTCCCATGGGGGATCTGGAAAGCAGTTGCTAAGAGGAAAGCCAAGGTGGCAGGTCTAAACTAGTTCCCCAGCCACAGAGGCCAGGTTAACTACAGGGCTGCTGGGTTAGCAGTCTTCAGAGCCAAGTTGAGGGGGCCGGGAAGTGGTAGGGAAGCCAAAAGCAGAATGCAGCTGTACTGACCAGGGGTGGTCTGAATGCAATCCAGACAGGACTTCCCAAGTCCCGGGCAGCGTCTACCTGCTCCCAGCCCTGCTGTCTACTGCCCAGCACGGCTGGATTAAAGGGATATTCAAAATAACATATTAACCCATTTTCAATTGCTCATGGTCTCATGGGAAAGAGTCAAGTACACAAATAATTGCATTTCAACATATAGAGGCTTTGAGAGAAAAGCAGAGAATAATTTGCTCAAGGAAAAATTAGACAAAAAGTCTAAGTCTCCTGGTCTTCACTTTCTCCATTACTGAATGAGGATATAGCTTCATAGTGTTGTAATAATTAAATAAGGGGATGTATGAAAAAAGTATGTAGCAAAGACAAAAGAATCTACAGATGTGAAATGCTACTGTTGTTTAATAGACTGCATTCTCACTGTTATTTATCTTGGGAAAAATTTAGCAACAGTGCATTTATTTATTAGAGATACAGTGATTGATGGCCTTTTTTGATGTATTTTGCTTAAGCAATGTTTTTGTGGTTCACAGTCTGTTCATTGGCTAAAGTGATGGTTGTCAATTCCTGGATGAATTTTAGATTCATCTGGGGAGCTCTAACAAACACCCTGCTCCAGCCAGACCTGACTTCCAGAGATTCTGATTTAATTGATCTGGGGCCTGAGCGCTGGGATGTTTTAAAAGCTTTTCAGTGGTTTTCATGTACACACTCCAGCTGAATATCCAGGGCTGAAGGAGCCTCATCTCACATTTGCGAATAAGTAAATGCTTACAAAAGCCCAAACAGAGGACCAGGCACTGTGCTGCATGCCGCTAAGCCCAGCAGCTGGGGAGGCTGAGGCAGGAGGATTGAGAGTTCAAAGCCAGCCTTAGTAAAAGCAAGGGACTAAGCAACTCAGTGAGACCCTGTCTCTAAATAAAATACAAAATAAGGCTGGGGATGTGGCTCAGTCGTCCAGTGCCCCTGAGTTCAATCCCCAGTACCAAACAAACAAACAAACAGCATCAGAATCACTGGGGATGGGGACACTTTAAAAATATATACATAATGTCAGGAGCCCCACCTTAGACTTAAAGAATAAACACATCTGGAGGTAGAGGTTGGCAATCAGTAACAAGCGATTCCTAATATCATTTGTGGGAATCACTAATACAGATGGTCCTCAACTTGTTCCACTTAACAGTTGTTTGGCTTAACAGTGGATCTGTACACATCCAGTAGAAACTGTACTTTAAATTTTGATATTTCCCCACACTGGCAATATGCAATATGAGTCTTTCTTGTCTTGTCTGCTTTTGGGCAGCAAGCTGCAGATCCGTCAGTCATGAGATCACCTGGGTAAAGCACCAGCACTCTACAGTGTGCTGTGTTGCTAAACTATGATGTTCCGTAGGTTACGTGAATTAACCCAAGTTTGCCTTACTATTCTCAACCAATGATGGGTTGATCAGGATGTAAACCCATCATCAGCTGTGAAGTATCTGTTAGAGGACAGAGTATTAGATAGCACCTAAAAATGAGGGTCATAAGCAATGTCTGAAGAGGACGATCCTGAGGACTAACTCCAATCACTTAGTTTATGCTCAAGGTTGGCAGGGGGGCAAAGTATTCAGTAAATGTTAGCTACCTTTATTACCACAAGAATGAATGTGGTCACCTGTGGCCACCGCAGAAAGAAGAAGAGGGTCAGGTTTATCCTTGGGCAGAGCAGTGCCCTTTTTTACAGCAGACTTGGCTTCAGCTCCAGGGGTCCTTCCTTCACATCCCAGTGTCCATTTTGCTTCCCAAACAGTGGCTGGGACACGCAGCAGCTCAGATGGGCAGCATCTCCACAGAAAACCACGGGTGGTTTTCTTTTTTTTTTTTCTTTAATTTTTATTGTTGGTTGTTCAAAACATTACATAGTTCTTGACAAATCATATTTCACACTTTGATTCAGGTGGGTTATGAACTCCCATTTTTACCCCGGATACAGATTGCAGCATCACATCGGTTACACATCCACTCTTTTACATATTGCTATACTAGTGTCTGTTGTATTCTGCTGCCTTTCCTGTCCTCTGCTATCCCCCATCCCCTCCCCTCCCATCTTCTCTCTCTACCCCATCTACTGTAATTCATTTCTCCCCCTTGTTTTTTTTTCCCCTTTCCCCTCACTTCCTCTTGTATGTAATTTTGTATAACCATCAGGTCTCCTTCCATTTCCATGCCAGGGGTGGTTTTCTAAAGTGTCTTTACCACACTCCTTCTTTATCTCATTACTCTCCCAAGCAAGGGTTATTTGTAGGTCCTGAAACATCCATAATCAGGGAGCTTTAAAAGAAAAATCATTTAAAATTGTACAAACATACGGGAAAGGAAAATCACAAGTTTCAAATGGAAGAAAGCTGCAAAGGTTAGAAGCATCACAAAATCCAGAAGAAAAATGCAGATTTCTTAATTAAGCGGCTCATCATCCCTATTGTCTTCTTATCCCTGTGTCTTTTTGCTGCCTGCCCTTTGATCTCTTCTTCATGAGACTGTGACTTTGCATTATATCCCTTAGAAGGAGTAGAAAGATAAGTCAGTCTTCTTCTCCCAAGAAGGATCGAAATTTGTCCTTTTGGTACCAAGAGTTTAGAAGGGTGACTCAGATTCACAATTTTTCCCTGGAAATGTGCTGATTTCAGAAATGTTGAAGAATTAGGTAAGACTCTTCTTAAATTTCTTTTATCTATGATCGACTGCAAGCCATACTTTCTGTTTAGCGTCAAACTAGAGGCTTATGCCCTCTAGACATAGAAATTATGGGAAAATCCAATTATTCTCTATTTTCTTCAACAAAGAAGAAATTATATGTCACTTTTATAAATGGGTGTGCAATCTGTTATATATACTCCTGGCAGGAAAAAACTGTTACCTTTGGCTAGGGCTTATGAGAACTAAGCTCTCTTTAAAACTTTACCAATCTAATGATTGAAGAATTCCCCATGGACTGGCTTTTGGATCTCAGTGCTTCACTCTTCTTTCCCTTCTGCTCCGGCCACATAGCCCCATCCAAGTGCTGTAAGATGCAGTTCTCTGGTGGCTAAGGTCTGCAGCCGTCCACGGGCAGCACAGGGTGAGTCAGTACCTGGGGCCAAGGGCTGCTATAGAAGCTGTGCCTACACTGATGCGGTTCATAGGAACTTGAACTTGATGGAATGACTGTGAACCTCGTACATATTTCCCTCTTATCACAAAAGAAATGTGTCCTCACTCAAAATGCCCATGGACATTCCAATGCTCCTAGATCAAGCAGGGATGTTTAACACAGGGGAAGTCAAAGTGGAAAAGGAAATTAATTAGTCATAACTAATGACACTTTTGCAAAAACGGCTATACAAAAACATTGCTAGGAATCAGCCCAGAGATAACAGAGATGCCTCAAATGAGAATCCCTGAAGTTTAAGCTTTCAGATGAATCTTCCTCTGTACCCTCTGCCAGTCTCTCAAACCCACCTCACTCCTGGCTGTACAGTGCAAAACTATAATAAAAATAATATAAATAAGATGAACAGTCTGAATTTTGGCACACTGTAATTTGCTTCTGGCCTCAGAGATGTAGGCAGCATGTGTATGGCATATGCAAGCCTGTTTTAGATTTTTTTTTTTAAGTTGGATGCCATTAGTTTGATTTTCTCTCTCTCTCTCTGTCTCTCTCTCTCTCTGTCTCTCTCTCTCTCAACTACTCTCTTCATAGGAGTTGTAAACTATGTTTCTGGTTTTTATTTTCTATCGCCCGTCAAACACACCAGTCAACGTGCCTGGTCCTCTTCTCCTCCTGGCTTTAGGAGGTAGGCTGTATTGGAGGTCACAGGGCACATCCCGTCTTCTTCTAAGAAATATTATTTGGATACACATGGGTGTTCCAAGGTTGTAAGAAATGCTTCTTCTAGAAGGAAATATGGACCAGTGGCTACAGTGACCACTCAAGCCTTAGGAATTTGAGAGAGCCCCCCGCCACATTTTTTCTCCCTTTTAATCTATATAGAGTTTTTAGCCAGTGCTCTACACCGGCCCTCACAGCACTAGGCCTGCAGTGACCTACAGACACCACATTCCTACAACGCAAGAAAAACAAACATGTGAGATCACCTTATCAACCTGGATTGGGGTTTGTAGTCACAGAATGTGTTTCCTCCCGAGTAGAAGGCGCACTTCCAAAACTGAGAGCTCTAGAAAAAAGAGTCGGTTTGCAAATGTGACCTTATCAACTGCCTGCATGATGAGTTCTGTTGCTGTCAGTGGTCAGCCCTCCCAAGGACCAGCGATTCCTCTAAAATGAGCCTGGGTTTTCAATGCTTCCTACGTATCTTCCAAAATAATGAAAGCAACCGATCAGGACTGATGGAGTAGGCTATGATTCAAGAAAATGTTTCCACATGTGGAAAGTGGAGCTTTGATTCTCAATTTGCTATTTTTGCTGTTCCCCTTTCATCATTTTGTTATGGCAATGTATGTTTTCAAAGGGTGATATCCTTTGTAATATTTAATGCCTGCACATGGCTTGGGCCTGGGGTCTTCTCTGATGATCTGCCGCACGTGCTGTGCTTAAAGGACAAAAAGGCTTGCTTAGAGGGGAACAATTAGCTCATGTGTGGGATTTCTTTGCCAAGCCAGCATTTGTTTGTTTTAGTGTTTTAGCAGCCACTCATTAAGTGCCTGTCAGTAAAGGATGATGTGTTGTATCTGCACCAGTGTGCTTGAATCTCACGTACCCTGTCTTCTGCAGCAGTGTTTTCTTATATTGACATGGAATCACTTGGCAGTAAGAACAAAGGCAAAAACTCTTATTCTTGGATTTTTTTAATTCTTCCTTGATATAGGAACTAGCTCAGTTTTTACTTTGTTCATTAAGTATTTTTTTAATCTGATAAGGGGATGCTTTCATCCTCCTGGAAGGCACTTTCTCTGCCCCAATGAGAAAATAATACTTCATTTGGAGATTTAGTATTAGCCTCTAGTTACTGCATTGGCCACTGCACAGTTTGGGTTTGTCCCACCCAATGTTGGCTAATCCATTGCCAAAGAAATGCAGAAATCAACTTTTAGCTCTTGATTAACATCCAATCGCCCTTGAACAGTCAAGGTTTCTCCAAGTTCTGCTTTGGTGGAACTCAGGAAGAGTAATCCCATAGGAAGGGGCATAGCCAGTTTTTTATTTAAACTGTATGTTTGGTTGGGATCTCTTGAGTGGAGCTAATGAAGATGGCAGGGAATCTAATTGTTCTACCATGGCCTTGAAAAAAATGATTATTTAATTGGATGGAGAGTTTATTTACAGCCTCAAAATGTTCCATTCTTCATAAGTGAGTGTCTTTTCAAAATTTCATCATTTGAGAGACAAGTGTTCACGTGTTCTAACTTCAAGAAAACTATACATGCATGTCTTTGGTAATTTATAGAGTATTTTCAAGGCTCAGAAATTTTAGAGGCTGGGAAAGCATCTCAGCAGCTACAGTGTAGTCATTGGTTCTCGGCCTTCATCAGCTACAGAAGTGATGGTTTATTTGGAGTAGTTGGTTTCATAAAGCCATTTGGGAGAAGATGGCTAGCAGCCAAGTCAAGCATCCTAAGTTCTAAAGCTTTTGCATTGAATCCAGGTATGGCATATTCCACTTCTTCTGCCTCAAGTTCTCTATTAATGAAATGAAGATTTGTTCATTCATTCATTCATTTGTTCCTGTGTTTTTGTTTATTCATCTGACAAATCATTAATGAACACCTGCAACGTGCCAGTCAGCATGCTCGGTGTCTGGAGATGGGGTAGTGCACAAAACAAAAGTGCATATTCTTATAAAGGTTGCATTCAGTAGAGATCCGAATCACTAATCACTCAACAGTATTCATACAAGAATTTTTAAACTCAAGTAATGACAAAATGGGACGTCAAAGCTTGGGGGACAAGGTGCCTGATGGCCTAAGAGGAAATAACAGGGAAAGCTTCCCTTCTTGGATATGTCAGAGAAGACTTCCTGGGGGCATCATGTTTGAGCAGAGATCTTAAAGACAAGTGGCCATTCACCAGGAGGAGCAGGTGAGACAAAGATGGGTGAGAATAACACTATGTACCAACCCAGAGTTGCTGTGCCTATGGGAAGAGAGCACTGAACTTCTTAGGCCTAACAGTCACGTGTCCTTATTTAACACGTGTAATAATAGTTTTAAATTATTTGTAGAGTAACTTTGACCGTGCTACTTGACCACTGGACACTCCACTAAGCGGTGTTCCCCTCCCCCACCACTGGACCTTTTGAAAGCCAGCTGTCCTGTTTTGGAAGCCACACCATCCAGCCTCAGATGGAAATTTTCTTCGTTCTCAAGGGTATGAGCTCATCACCACACCAGATGGGTTTCCAATGAATGATTATTGTGCAATCTGATTATTTTCATGTCATGCTAATTCCCTTTGAAAGATGGAAACAGGATATGGGCTCTCTTTATTATCTTTGTAAGTTAGAGGAAAATATCCCAGTATGGCCACATCCCCTGCAGATTGAGGAAAAAAAAAACATACAAGTTAAAACTAAGTGGCAATTCTGGTATAAGAGTCCACTAACAGTGATATTTACTGTGCACAATCAATCAATTTTTATCATATGATACATCCGTTAAAGTAACTTTAGACTCTGCAGCAGATAACTAGGAACTCTCAGTAGTTAGTGAGATAGAAATTTATTTCTCATACTAACAAACATAAACATACTCTGGTTGAAACTTCCATAGGTTCGTTCAGTGTCATATTGTGACTCTGTCCTCCTCCAGGGTCTCAGTGTCGCTTCATTTAGCTGGCAAAGGAAAGCAGAGAATGGAAGAGTGTCAGTGAGAGACTTCTATGGGTCAGTCCTAGAAGTGGGGCTCATATCTCATTGGCCAGAACTCAAGTCACATGACCACATCCAACCTCCAGATACAAGTGGGTGGTCAGCTGGTTAACTTATCCCAGGGAGTCAACTTTGCCTGAGGTTAAGGGCATGTGCCCCAGAGTCAGTGAATCAGACATACAGTAATTCCTTTTTATCCACAGGAGATATATTCTAAGACCCCTAGTGGATGCCTGGGACATCCGAGAGTTCTGAAAACTTCATGATTTTTCCTACCTACGCAAACCTCGGATGGTTTTTAATTTATAAATTAGACACAGTACAAGATTTAAAACAATAACAATAAAATAGAGCAATTATGACAATATACTGTAATAAAAGTTATGTGAAGGTGATGTCTCTCTTAAAAGGTAATACTTTCGCCTTCTCAATTAAAGGAACCATTTTATGACTTCTCCTTGGCATATCCAAATTGTTAGCACCACTCCTCTTGCACTTTAGGTTCATTATTAAACAAAATAAAGGTTACTTAAACACAAGCACTGTAATACCAGGACAGTAGTGTATACAGCACAGATAGGCTGGGAAAAAGGTGATTAAGGTCCAAGAGGGAGGGAGTGAGATGGTGAAAGATTTCATAACACTACTCAGAACAGTGCACATTTTAAAACTTATGAATTTCTTATTTCTGGAATTTTCCACTTTATAGTTTGGGATCATGGTTGACTACAGGTAATTGAATCAAGAAAAGCAAAACTAGGGATCAGGGCTGACTAAAATAAGTCCCAACTCCAGAAGGTGAGTCTAAGGACACATCACTCATCCTTTGAAGCCTAGATCCTCTCATCTGTAAAATGGAAACAGCGACACTATTTACTACAGGGTGGTACCCTTAGAATTGAATGCCATGTTGTATGTCAAGTGCTCAGACCAAGACTGATAAGCAAAACACACTTATTGATTGTAAGTCATAATTATCAATTTACTCATTTGCTACAAAGTAAAAGCAAATTAAAAGAACCTGATCCATTCTTATGACTGAGAAATGGTGAGTGGGGATATAAATAATTCTTAACTACCAAACCAAACAAACTTCAATCTCCAAAATAAGTATAGGCTGATTGCTATCATTATCATAGCTATGGTGAGCCACTTTGAAGTTTTCAGGGGACATTCAAATATATTTTTTGACCTACAATTATGCCAGAAAATAGGCTCAACCAAAGAGTCTAGGCAGGCGATTTTGGTACCTACAGTAGTAGAGGCCTGCTGGGGACTCTAGGGGGAAATGAAGGTCACCGGCGAAATGAAGGTCACCAACGTTCCTAGAAGTCCAAAGAGCCCTCTGTTCTCTCCCCATTTCTGCCTGGATCCAAATGTGGGGGCTGCCTCTCCCACACCACGCAGCTCTGTTTGTGCTTCCCCGGGCCAGAGTTTTGTTTTCGATTTGCCTGTTCTGGGGCAGCTGCAGTGACTTTTCCATGAATGTACTGTTATTTACAGACTGGGCCAAGTAACCTACAGTTTGCACTCTCTCTCAGCCAAATAAAGAGTGCAGGACACCCTGAGCATTTTCTGAAAAAGGGGAAGTGCTTGTTGATACTCAGCCCTGGGAGGCAAATTGCAGTTGACGCCATGTTTCAGGCTCTGCTCCAGCAATGACAGTGGAAGGGCATGAACTGCCAGTTCTGGCTGTGTGCTCGGGGGTGGGAATCAAGGGCACGGTGGAAGTTGGCATGGCCTCAGTCTATGTCTATGTTATATCTAGTTGGCCTCCATGATCACGAAGCGCAGGATAAACCCTTGAAACAATTAACTCATCTGTTGTAATACAAGCCATTGTCTGAAATGTCTGTTTCAAGCAAGTCTGAAGAATATTCAGCATATCACCTAATGATATCAAATCAAAAAAATATGTGTTCAAATGTGGATAGACATTTTCTGGTTCTCATTGTTGGGAGAAGAGAGAATCCTTATGAGAAGTGATTCTCACCAGAGAGTGCTCATTGCTGAGAATTCCTCCAATGTAGTCCAGTAAGATTCTTGTACTTAAGCCACTTCATAGAATAACAGAGTGCTGTGGAGTCTGGTGAACTTAGTCCAGTGTGATCTCTTCTACTGAGGATAGAGCTCATCCATCCAATGAAATAACTTGTCCACACTGGTTAAAACTGCACAGAGTTCAAACAAAACAAAGAATAACAGTATTTATTTAGTTATGTTAGGGTGCTTTATAGACATACAATAATTTTCCCACTGATCTTATGAGGGAGCTACTTTGACTAATGGCCCCATGCCACAGGTCATAAAATAAAGGTTTGGTCATAAGACCCTAAGGCACACAGCTAGTAAGTGACCATCAGAGGCCATATTGAGCCGGCTCTTAATCACTGTGTTCAGTAACTATGGGAAATGCTGATTCACACACAGTGTTAACCATCTTCCACCAGGAGGTGTGTTCTTTTGCTCACCTTAGCACCCACCACCATTGGAGCAAAGACTCTCTTTAACTCAATCCTGAGAGCTCTGGAGAGAGGATATTGGTGTCTTTGGCAATCCTTAAAATACAATCATCGGGTTGCCCTCCTCTGTCTTCTTCTACAGCTATCTGTGTTTAGTTTCTTTGTTGTGTATGGGACTGAAGGATAAAAACAGCTCTTTCCTGCCCACAGAACCAGCCAACTTCTGCCTGTAAGCCTACTTCTACTGCCTTGGTCCATTGCACAGGTTCTTGATAACAATAGGAAACACTTATTTAACACTCCACATGTACATACTTCACATGTATCTATTCCATCTTCAAGGCAACCAGTGGCACAGGTGTATATTTGTCCAATATTACACAAGAGGAAACTGAGTCACAGGGAGCTTTCAACATTCTTTTTTAAAATTTTTATTTGTTCTTTTTAGTTATACATGACACTAGGATCTATTTTGACATATTTATACAAACATGGAATATACTTATTCTAATTAGGATCCCATTCTTTTGGCTGTACGTGATGTAGAGTTTCACTGTATTCATATATGTACATAGGAAAGTTATGTGAGATTAATTCCACTGTCTTTCCTATTTCTATACCTCTTCCCTTCCCTTCATTTCCCCTTTGTTTAATCCACTGAGCTTCAATTCTTTCCCTTCCGTCCCCACACCTTGTTGTGTGTTAGCATTCACATATCAGAGAGAACATTCCATCTTTGGTTATTTTGGATTGGCTTATTTCACTTAGCATGATAGTCTCCAGATCAATTCACTTATCAGAAAATGTCATAAAGTCATTCTTCTTTATAGCTGAGTAATATTCCATTGTGTATACATACCACATTTCTTTATCCATTTATCACAAGGAGCTTTCAGTCACTGGCTCATGATCACACAGCTAATGAGTGATAGAGCCAGGATTTAAAGATAATCTTTTTCACTTGAGAGCCAGTGTTCAAAATTGTAAGTAAATGGCCCATTCCGGAGGATGAGTAGGTACAATCTGCTACTGTATTGTTATTTCCGTGGAAATAGCACATCTATTTCTCACATCTCCTTTCCTTCAGCGTAACTTGCTCACCACCATTTCTACTGCATGTTCATCTTAACTTTGAATATCCCTGCCTCATTTCTTTGTCGTTTTAATCAATCATCAAGGATTTCTTGATTAGGGCAGGGTGGGGTGGTAGTCATGCCTCTGGGCTGAATCTCACGTTTAGCATCTTTAAATAATGTGATAATTATCTTGCAATTTCCCATCAGTTTCCTCCATTTTAAAATGGGGATAAGACCTCAATATTTGATAGTAACAAATGCATGGAAAGCTCTTAACATCTTTCTGATAGACATTAAGCATTCCATAGAAGTTACCACTGCTGTGGTTAATATTACTGTTTTACATTGATATAGGCTATAAGGGCAGGGAGGGGATCCAAATAGGCAAAACTGTGCAAGCAGAGGGAAGCAAAAACTGCTGGGCTCAGAGTTACCATACTCAACCATCTTTCTAAGTGGCTTGCAGACACAGACAGGGAGAATCTTGGGGGCCAGAAAGATACCAGGACACAAGAAGGAATGAATTCAACAGGGAACTGAAGGCAGAAAGAGACTAGCAATTTGCTCGACCCTATGAATTAATACTTCAGGCAGAAATAACACCGAGCATTCCTGGTTCTAAATCTTAGAGATCCTGAGCTTTCCCCAGTAAAGCACGATTTACACTTTGAGCTTTTTCCTTGGGCTCTGCTTATGCCAAAAAATTAACCAAAAAGGAGGGGTAGAATTCATAAAGAGAGGCAGTGTGGCCTATTAAAGGTATCTGTTTGGTTCTTCTTTGGGCTTTAAGTCAAACACCGCCTTCCCACACACATCTGTGCCAAATCAGAGCCATCCACAGGAGAGAGGGCTGGTCTTGTTCTCAATCAACTCTTTGGGTTACCCAGTCATTGCAGGGACTTCTGACTCCTTTCACAACTATCTAAGCCAGTGACTTAACAAGAATGTTCTGCACAAGCGGAGGCTCCGTTCTCAGGCCTTGAGGAAGTGCCCCGTGCGGGGGCTGGACAGAGGATCAGAACTGAATGTGGAACTCATTGTGAATCTCAGTTTTCAAAATGCTCAAAATCTATGCTGTCTGCCCCTCCTAGATATTCGCTGAAAGCCAACGGTTGGGAATAGCCTGTGTGTTTTGTTTGCACATCCAAACTCCTGCTGTTCTACAAAATTGCAATACAAAATTATAATACTGCCGAAAAATTCAAGTCAATTCATTTGAATCTTAAAACTTACTGCTAAATTTCCTAGTCAGTTAATGAGTTTCTTTGCCACTGAGAGAAATACACAACCATACATCCACACTTACTCTCATTTTTCCATCATGGCCTACTGGAGATGGGCTTGGGTGACACTGGAATCGAGCCAAGTGTCTTAATCCCAAATCCACGATTTACCTGCTGCATGAATTTAGCAAGCTGTTTAGTTGTCCTGAGCCTCAACATGCCTTCTGTAAAATGGGGTCAAAATTAATACCATATAGGATTATTCTGAGGTTGAGGCAGCCTATGTAAAGCACTCAGCACAAGATGTTTAGTAACTGGCCGTTGTTTCCTTATTAATCCTTTATGCATCATTTAAACTCTCCTGGGAATCTAGCATTCCCCCAGAAGGCCCTTTGCAACAACGTAAGAGATGAATTTGAAAGTGGTTAAAATAAAAATCATGTGGATATTGTGAACCAAGAATGAGAGAGCCCAGAAAACCCAGGAGTGTTCATGCACGCTGCTTTAAGTGTGACACTAATGTCCTGCTCCCAGCACTGACTGATAACCAGCTCCTCCTCCCTCACCTAGTTGGTCTGGAAGGCTGGGTATCTCCACATATGGAATGCAGTTTCTCTGTAAGGTCTGTAATATGCTTGAAATTCCAAAACAAAGTAGACCCCGGCAGGGCACTGGCTCTGCGTTGGCAAATAAGCCTGCCATCAGGCGCCACCTCGGGTATTACAATGTGCTTTGAATCAGGGAAGGAGCTGCAGCCTTTCCTATGCAAAAGGCCTGTGGGCCAACATATTAGCTCCTCTGCAGAACAGAGTTGTCTCGAGCCAGAGAAGCCTTCTTCACCCCGCTGCATCTGGAACCTCAGCAGCCTCCAGAGCCTTCCTTTGCATTTATATTTCAGTATCTTGGGTAAGAAATAGGACGGATCACCCATCACCTGGGCATTTAAGGGCAGGATTATTAAAAACAGGTTGGATAACGACTTTACCTTACATAATTGAATATGAAGTATGCATTGTTAAGATCTTGTGACATTTGAAAAATGGGTCCTGTCTAAGAAAGAAAATTGTGTTTGTGGCTAAAAGAATTGAAGTCAATGTCCTCTATTACAAGAAAGTTCAAATTGCTTTTAATGACAATGTGCTGATTATTTCCAGTCTCCTACAACCTAAAGCATCACCAATTAAAGGTGAAACAAAGATGTCAGGCTGGGGTCAAGCCCCAGTCTGTGCATGGACACTCTGAAAGTGTTGGGGGCCGGCTTTTGGACCCAGAGCTGTGCATCTTTGATAAGGTCCAGGTGCCCCCTTGGCAGAGTTCTGCCAATGACCCCAACAACTCACAAAGGCAGCCAACAGCAGCACGGGGGAAAGGCCATCACCAGGTACTGAGGAACCTGAGTCTGGGGGACCTGATGGCACTGTGGCCCGGCTTCTCCTCTTGACTCCCCACCCCAGTACTTGGTTAGCTGGAGCCACTGAGCACAACGGGAAAGGCTGAGTAGAAAAGGATTCCCCTTTTATTTCAGTACAAACACAACCCCCGCAAACCAAAGACAATCAGAAAGCCTGAGCAGAGAACTGAAAACTACACATAGTCTTAGTGGTTTCTTCTCTGATGTCCTAGCACCGGGCTGGACCACTCACATTGCTTCTGCAGTGCTTTTGTAAAGGACAAATAAGGACTGGCCGCTGCCCTGTAGTCTTTCTAAAATGAACTTCTGGTGTGATTAGAATTGTGCTGAGTTCTTGAACTTTCAAAGGGGTAAACATATAGAGGGCATGGGTAATGCCAAGATGCAGTTTTATCGGTTGGTTCCGTGGGTGAACCACACCATCCCTGCTTTCAGAATGAAGAGCAATGTAGGGAACATTACAAGAAAATTTCCACAAGTTAACCGTAGATGGGGACCAAAGCAGGACACGAAACCACTCATAGGAAGTATTCCAGTCTCTATGGAAGAGCCTGCCAGGCAAACGGCATCATGCAAGCAAGGACCTTGCAGCACTTCCCACGTCCCAAGGGCGAAGCTGTAGGTGTAATCTCATCTCACCACAGCCCGGTCACCTTTTCTTCTTACAGCTGAGGACAACCACACCTTAAAGTTATAGGACTGGGGCTGGGGATTTAGCTCAGCGGCAACACTTACCTAACATGCGAGGCCTTGTGATCCATCCCTTGCACTGTGTGACATAACCTGCACCATTTCATAAGAAGTGACAGAGCCCCGTTAAAACCACTGCAACTGCTTCTAGAATTCATGCTCTTTGTTGCTACACTGAAACAGCAGTTATTTCTGGGTAGTGGAGCTACAAGTGTTTTAAAATTTCTTTTCACTTTTCTGTGCCATCCATTGTTCTTGTACAACAAGCCTATTTTACTTGAAAAATCAGAAAACAGAAAAGGGAGGGAAATTCACAGTGTAAAGACATCACACTTGCCGGGTATGGTGGCACATACCTGTAATCCCAGTGGCTCAGGAGGCTGAGGCAGGAGGATAGAGAGTTCAAAGCCAGCCTGAGCAAAAGTGAGGCACTAAATTACTCAGTGAGACCCTGTCTCTAAATAAAATACAAAACAGGGCTTGGGATGTGGCTCAGTGGTCGAGTGCCCCTGAGTTCAATCCCCAGTACCCGCCGACCCCCAAAAAATCACACTTGCTTTATCTTGGAGATATTGAATTAAACCAGATTTGCCTAGCTCTGAAACAAGCCACTTCTTAAGATGGATTTCTTAAAGAATGTGTTAAGAACTCTAAAACCCAGGAAAGCAAAGAACAGATACTCACATCTGCCACTTTCCCATAAAATTTTAGATCCTAAAACCTGAGCATCCTTAATGCTCTTCTAATCACCATGATGACCCCTCCCACGCTCTGGGCTGGAGGAATCCCTCCCCTGTCCTCTGCAGCACTTCTCTACTCATTCAGGAGCTTTCTTGATGAACTCTCCCCACACCTTCCATCTCAGTCTGCCTTGAACTCAGATCTTCCCAAAGCTCCTGAACATTCTCTCAAGCCTGCTACACTCTCAAGTGCACACCCCCGCCTTCCCTCCCTATGAGACCTCAGTGGAATACGCTGTTCCTGGAGCCCCACGTCCAGCACATACTCCTTCAGTGCTCACAGATGTGGCCTCTGCCCTGCTTCCCTCGAAGACCACCATGGACATGCAGTGGTCACACCCAGGGCCGTTTTCCCATCTCCCCACCTCGTGTGGCTTCGTCACCTTTCTGCCCAGCACCTGGAGCTCCATCTCCCTGCGCCAGATCCTCCTTCTCTGACCCTTCTTGGTTCTATTTCCTGTCTCTTTTGCTCCTCATTCCACCTAAACAGATAAACCCAAGATCAAGTCTTTGTCTTACTCTCTTTCCTCTATGTCCTCCTTTTGAATCTCAATATGTTCTGCCTACCATTCTGTTCTTGGCATAGTTTGTGCATGACTTCCAAATGTAAGGAAAGCTTAAAAAAAAAAGGAAAGCTTACATTCTATTGGGCAAGAGAAATTGTAAGTAAACAAATAAACAAACCAATAGGTCCTCTGGAAGGATGATGTCCAAGCTAAAATTCAAATAATGAAAAGAATGAGCCAAACAAAGTTCTAGGAAAAACAAAACAGAAGGCAAAGGGAAGAGCATATGTAAGGGTCCTAAGGCAGAAACAAATGTGACCTGATGCATAAAGAGAAGAGAGTGTGGTTATAGCCTATTGAACAAGGGGAGGGTAGAGGCCAGAAAGGTATGAAGCCATGAGCTTTAATCCCCCTCCTCATGCAGTACCTCTGTGATCACAAAGGGACCCTTCTGCCTTGCAATGGCATTCTTACATCATGTCTTCTACCTCCTCCCATCCTGCAGACACCTCAAGTGAAAAGAGAAATACACCTCACCTTCTATCCCCTAAAGTGCTAGACCAATACAGTATTACATTTGCTGAATTTCAGTGAAGGAGGCAACAGAAGACAAGTGCTATCTGTGAAGACCCAGACATTCCCAAGTTAAAACCAGTCTTTGAGTCACTCACCAAGATGCTGCCAGAAATAACATCATGCAGAAACATCAGTAAAGTTTGGTCACAACAACTAAAGCAAGTGTCTCACTCTCTTCTGCCTCCGCCTGCCTGGGAGTTTAGCATCCCCTGAAGCCTCTCATCTGGGACAGGATTGCAGGGCGGGTGCATGTTTTGCATCTCCACCAGGCCAGCTGTGGCTGGAGAATTCCTGACACAGACTAAGGTCAGACTGAACCCAGAAGACTTTCCTGGGGAAACACACCACACGCTGCAAAGCCAGTCATGCTGCTAATTAAAGAAATATTTTCAGAGGTGCTGTGATCTGTCACAAGAAGTGTTGACTCCTGATGACACAGGAAATGACTAGCATCTTATTGGGTGCATTCCACAGAGGAAAACACACAGATGTGAGTGCCTGCTTTTCATGCCACGGCTTCTGAAACCAGAGGCTGAGGGATCTTTGCATTTGAGGGTGCAGCTGGGAGTCAGAAAACCTGGGCTCAAGTACCCGTGGGGTAGCATTTCTTGACTGTGTGGCATGGGATGTCACTTGCCCACTCCAAGCCTCAGGGTTTAGGTTAGGCAGTTTTCCATTACTAGAACAAATGCCTAAAATAATCAACTTATAAAAATAAAAGGTTTATTTTGGCTGATGGTTTTAGAGATTTCAGTCCATGATTGGTTGGCCCTGTTGCTTTGGGCTAATGACAAAGCAGCACATCATGGTGGAACCATTTGGGGGAGTAAAAGCTCTCACCTCATGGCAAGGAAGAAAAAAAAAAGGAGGAAATGGTGTCTCACAGTTCCCTTCAAGGACAGTGCCCAAAGACCTAAAGACCTCCCGGTAGGCTCCCCCTCTTAATAGTTCCATCACCTCCCAACAGCACCAACCTGGAGACCAAGCCTTAAACACATGGGTCCTTTAGAGAACATTCCAAATCCAAACTGTAGCAGAGTTCTTATCTACAAAATAAGGATTTATAAAATCTATCTAATAGGCTTGATTTGAAATTGTTTTATAAGTCATAAAGGGTCTCATGAAACTTAAGTTTGAGGCTTTTGGAAAACCTTGGCAATTTCAATTCTTATCTTAATTATACAGAGCTGCAAGAACAACATATTCTCCAAGTTCCTTTTGATTAAGGCTGGCCCCAGACAGGAGCTCCTAGGACGTAAGCTGTATTTCCCAACCCAGGAGGGAATGATTGCACAAAGAAAACTCAACTTGAAGTCATGTGCTGATTCCCATGTGAACCAAATTGCTGTACGAGTAAGCAAAGCTATACTTTAAAAAGCATAGTTTTAAAGAATGCAGGCAGAAGTCTTCTTGCTTACCCTGTGGCATTTTATCACTAGAACCTGACATTAGCTTCTTTCACAAATTCCCCTGTGCCAGGGTCAACTGCTTCTTTTATCTGGGCATCAACAGCAGACCTGGCTTTACTGAGTTCATGAATTTTGAAAGCGAAAGGCTTTTACAAGTGGTTGCATAGTAATCCAAAACCATCGGATGGCTTGTTTTCAATTGCATAAGATTTGATTAGTACTAAAAATGAACACATTCTGGTTACTAAGCTCTAGAAAATAGTCATACTTCAGGGAAACTTGAACATTCATTGCAAATGTCACAATGGCTTTTAAATGATCAAATAAATTATTTGCGTTTGCACTTAGCTAACCATGGGTTTAGCTATCCTTTTCTTCATCTCCACCACCTGCTTTCCTCAGACCCTTTTTGCCCATTCTGACACTTTGAGCTGCCTCCTCATTGCTCCTAAACTCTCCCCCTACATCATCCCACTGTCCGCTTATTCAATCTTTTTTAGCCACACCGAACAAATCATTTGCCCACTAAGATATCGATACTGTTAATGGGTCCCAATTATCAATTTTAGGGCCAAATGTTTTAGTAGCAAAACTCTTTTTTATGTGGAATCAAATACTAAAGATACAAAATATAAAATGTATTAGAAAATGATATTTTAACAGCATAAATGTACAACATTTATTCACTGCAAAGACATTCAATGGGAACCATATTTTGTTGGACAATAACAGGAAGATCCCGAAACACTCTCATAAGTTATTGCTATATGTGCATGAACATGCAAAAGCCTGAGTCTTTGGAAAGGCCAGTACAGTTTATTTTGTTGACCCTTAATGACATGGAGAATAACCAAAAAGGCACTTGGTAAGATGGTAACAGAGCACAGTGGTTTTAAGGAAGTAGACTCTGAAATTAGCCTCCCAGAGTTAAGGTCCAACTTGATAATTTCCTGCATGTGAGACCTTGGGCAATCATGAGACCTCTGTGTCTCAGTTTCCTCAACTGTTTAATTGGAGATAAAGACAGAATGGTGAAGGTCAAGCATACAAGAACAATGCACATAGACAATGCTACAATTTCATTTCCTTCTCTGAAAACACAATCTCCACTTCAGTCAAATCCTCTATTCATAGTTCCCTGAGCTGCTGGCACACTGTGATCTCTGCTTTTCTTCCCAAAGTTTCCATAGCCTGGCATGCTTAGGGGTAACATAATCCCTCCTTTACTTTGCAATGGCTGCAGTCCTTCTACCCACTGTTTAAGACATACCTTCATTGAAGGCTTCTGTGATGGCATGGCAGAACCCATAATAATCTCCCCTCCTCCAATCCTGCAGCTCACATACATTCCTGAAATCCCTTAAGCTTCCCTATACAAGCACTCCTCTTGTTTGTAATCATTTATCTAATATCAGCCTTCCTCCTCTCCATAAAGTAGGGCCATGTTTCTGTTGTTTATTGCTCTATCTCTAGCACAGAGCACAAGGTCATGTATAGGACAGACATCCATAGATGATGGATGAATAGATGGATGGGTGGATGGATAGATAGATACACAGACAGACACTGGTCTATTGAACAGGTCACTCATTTGGCATGTACCCTACTCTGTCTGTGTGAAGTTGAAATGTGTGAAAGAGAAGATGAGATAAAAGAAAGACTGGATTCTACTTCCATGGTAAAGTACCACTAAAAAGTGAGTCAGTGGCCACCAGAGTTTGTAGACCTGAGGGAAATGAAATGTGTTCAGTAAATAAAAGTCACATTGTGTGACTCAGGGAAATTGAATTAGGTAAATAAATATGGGACAATTACACAGAAACACCCAAGATCTTTTTTAGGGTATGTGAACACTCTCCTCTCCTCCCGAGGTCTCTGGCATTCACTGACTTGTTGACAAGATGGCGGAAGTAGAGACAGGGATTTGGGGTAAACACCACACCTCAGCCTCCTGATTCCACCTCAGCCCTCCATCCATCAGAAAGCTTCACTGCGTTCAGGGAAGGGTCTGCCTAGGAAGTCCAGCTCTATTCATTCTTGCTCTTAGGTCCCAGAAGCATTTGCATGTGCCTTTGAATTCACTGGCCAAACCCAGGCCCGCGGGTCAGGGAAAGGTTATAAGCAAGTGGAGTTCCTTTCTTTGTGCATTTTAATCTCAACTCATTGTTGTGGACCCAGAATTATTCCACACGGGGACAATCCTCTTTTCTACCTCCCTAACCATTTGGTAGAGTGTCAGTTACTCTGAGAGAAAAGACAGATCCTGGGGGATGCGTAAATAATGCTTGGGCTCTGATTTATGGCTTTGTTTTCAGACAAATGAAGGTGAAGCTGGGGCCTCTGACCCTGGCCTGGTCTGGCTTCTTCCTCAAAGTCTGGAGTAATGAGAAAGGAAATGAAGGATCAGTTGCTGGGGTTAGCTGCATAAGGAGGAAGTAACATGCATAGTTTCCTTTCCCTATTTAAATGGGAAGGTGGCAAGATTTCCTGGGGTGACCCTGGCTACATAATCAAGCAAGCTTTATGAAATGATATGTTACGTGGAGCATGTAAAGCCTCCCAGCCCAGCTTCTAGAACACACTGTTTGAAAGGCAGGAAACCAGTTCGAATTGGAATCCCTACAGAGCTCTGTCTGGCAGAATTGCAGACAGCGGTGCCCATGAGACATCTCAAACTTTACGACTACATATTTAAGCATTTATGAGACTTGAACTGTGTTCTATTAAAATGAGGTGGGGGGAGGCAAGGAAAAAAATCCGGAGACTTCCAGCAAGGGTAATTAGCCCCAAATGTTTCATAAAGGATTTGATAGCATTCTGGTTTTAAGTTCCTTTCCCAAGTCTGTTGAGGAGAAAGAAAAGAAAGGAACCTATTAAAAAATTCACTATTACTTTTTAAAAGATCACATGACCAAACCAAGCATCTGGACCCCTGTTTAGAAGGAGGCTAATCATACAGAATGCTTTCTAAGGTAACAGATTAAAATTTTACTGGAGAGAAAATATTTAAGACACCGGCTTGGCGTGTTTCATCATACCTACTAGAGAAATTCCTTTCTTTTCTCCCTGCTGGTCACTGAGCTCCTTCTTCCCTGTTGATTCTAGACTTGGTGACTTTCCACCCTCCCTCCAGGCTCAGGTCTATTTCCCTGTTGCTCCCATGGAACTGTTGCTGGTAGAGAGTCAAGGGGTGGCCACTGAGAAGACTGAGATGCCCAAGCCAAGCCAGTGCTAATCTCTGGCCAAGTGATATCACATAAACACGGCTCAACCTGATAATGCTGACCTCCCCATGTTGAGGGCCACACCACAGGGTTCTCATCAGACTGGCTCTGGCAAAGACTCAGATACTCTGCACTCATTGGCAGGACAAGAAATCATTTCCCATTTGTTGCTGCGTACATGGGCAGAGAAGGCACTTCATCAGAATGCTTTTCTTAAGCTTCCTGGTTTTACAAAAGGGGCTTCCAGAACAATTAGTCAGCAACTAGCAACTGAGGCAGCTGAATCTGCAGAAATAACTACAATTATGTGGACAGGGGGATTTTTCCATCTAATGCCAGGGTCACTTTGAATCTTATACAGACCTGTAGCACTGTGCTAAAAATTCTTTGGTCTTGTATCATAAAAGATCCCTCTGATATACATGGACAGCCCTGCTGGTGTTCATTTTCACCTGTCTGAAGAGAGGTCATAGAAAGAATTTCTCTTGATTTGTCCAGCTCTCTTTCTGTTTCTCAAGGTGGAAGAGACATTGTGAGTAAGTGCTCTTAGAGATGACTCAAGTCATTCATGTTCTCCCTTACACTTTAACCTTGAGGGTACCTTTCTTCCCACATGAGCAGAGCCAGTCCACTTCGAGTGGGACTTTTGACAGCAGTTTAACCCAACCCA